ACTGCTGACCCTTGGGGTCCTTCCGGAAGGCTACCCCCCAGGCTGGTGGTGCGCACGTTCCACTATTTATTTATTTATTTGTTTCTGATTCTTTTGTTTTCTTATATGTTATCGCTCTGCTAACCCTTGGGGTCCATTATATTTTCGTAAACCTTTTCTAGGTGCGTTAGCCTGTGACCACGGAAATTGACCGAGTCAAGTGCTCGATTAGTACGGAGAGATTGAGACAGAAGGAGGTACTGGATAGAGAGACCGGGATGGTTTTTAATGTGAAGACAACAACAACAACAACACCGAGTGGCCAACTTTGGCACGTGTTCAGACCAGCTACCACGCATCTCCTCCTCTACAGCTCGCGGAGTTCACTATCTGCATATCACAGAGGGTGTTCGCGTGTGGTTTGCAGACCACGACAGGGCGTAGTGAGGAGAGGCTCGCGATCGGCGACAACTCGCGTGCTAGTTCAAATATTCTGCTGCTGCTGTGTTCTGAGTGGTGGGGCATTTTTTTCTACTTCTTTATTTATTAACGCATACGGAGTGCTGACAACAACGATTCGCATCAACAACATCGCATCAACAACATCGCATCAACAACATTTAGGGTGTGTGTACCAAAACAAAAGCAACACATATTCACGGGGGGCGCACGACCCAGCCTACTGCAGGTACTTTCCGCAGCACGGGTTATGCTGTTGTGATGGTGCGCGCAGAAAAAACTCCCCCCACTCGGGGTCTAGTATCTACATACACGCACACGAGTCGACTCCGGTGTTCGACGCGTGCCTCGAACAAAGGCGACATTTGCTCCATCGAGACACACGGCAAACTCAGTGCCAGTGCGTCCAAAACCGCAAGACACCGCGAGGCATGCGTGGGGAGCGTGACTCTCACCTCGCTACGGCCCGTTCGTCGCTCTCTGTGCTCGCCTTCCCTCTCTCGATATCTCTGGGTGGCAAGTACAGCCCTGATGTGGACCGCGAGAGCACAGCCGCCGCCTAGCGCGCTGCCTGTCCTCGGTAGTTGTCGTTGCTATTGTCAGCGATCGGCGTGATTGTGCTCTTTTACTGCTTCAGAGTGTGGTGTGATTGGTTAGCCACCCGGACGCCGAGACGATGCCAGAATTGACCAATCGAGAGGCCGAAATTCGTGAACATTTTATTGATATAATGGCGACACATAATTTCGGCCCGCCGATCACCGCCTTGAAATTATTGTGCTCCCCCTTTTGGCTGCGTTGCATTGTCAAAGAATCCGGCGGACCGCGCAAAACCGGAACGAATTCCCCGGAAATATTATTTACTGTCAGGACATCGATCACAATGTTCACCCGAAGTAAAATATTCGGCGTATTCCTCAAGAGAAACCTATTGTTGTGAAATAATTCCCGACGACCGAATGGGTCTTTCTATTGTTCAACACTTGTCCATCGCGAATATCACCCAACCGATCGGCGCGGAGATATTGAATTATCCGTAAATGGTCGAGCTGGATTTTGCCTCCCTGGTTGAGCACACCCACCTGCAGCCAGCAGAGCCATGCGGCGTTGGCTGTGGTTGGGTGCTGCCATCATCACCCACACGTCCCCGCTGACAGGGACGATGTCCTTCGCCCCAGGGGCGCTCGAGTTCTGGTTCGGCGCCGGGCCGGTCCCACGGGAGGCTACCAACATCGACGTACGTCTACCTCAGACTGGTCCAGGATTGATTGTCTTCACTGCCCTCTGCTCAACCTGCAGCAGATTCTCCACAGCCAGCCAAAAAGAAACGTCGGCACGCCAAAGCGAAATAACTCGAGGCTGTCCTGAGCGTGGCATGCTGCCTTGGTTCGTGTGCTTCAAAGTTTGCCGACCCAGGGAACAGCGACCCACCGGCTCGATCTCCTCACGGCAGAATGAGAGCGCTTCCTTGACTTGGGGCCTGACGAGGCAGCACGGAAGAACTTCATCGCTCAGCGTGTCCCCATCGAAGAACAGCACAAGCGCAAGCTGTACGCGGGTAATCGGCTGGTATGTGGAAAGTTTTTCAAGTCCGTATTTCCAGTGTCAAACAACTTGAGATCAACGCTGCAAAAGGCTCACCCGGGTCCAGGGCATCGGCTAACGTTAGGCACGTGCAATATTTGCTGTTGATATGTACGAAAACGAAACGACGGGTTGAGTGTTTGTTGCCAGTGTCCGTACACAGAGTAGCGCAATGCCGTGGCGTGTTCATCACCCATTCGCCTGCCACAAGGTCTCGTCGGCATGCCACATCTCAGTGTAGCACCGATGTCAACGCACCTATTACAACACCACAGAGTTTGGGACCGAACTCGGACGGGTCGGGCGTAGGTCCCCACCCCCAAAAAAACACGCACGTTTCAACAGAAGTACTACACTGCTTTCTCAATCCTGTCCGTGCTGTTCGCGCAATTGTTGCATTGACCGCAGCGTCGACAGGTCCCCCCGTCGAGGACAACACTCGCCGAAGCGTGACGTCATTCTCGCTTTTGTGGACTGGTACAGCTGAATTTTCGGGCAGGGGATGCCGCATAAGCCTTGAACCACGCTCTACACAACCACGAAAGGCGTGAGTAAATCCTGGTTCTCCGTTGTTACAGTTGGACCGTCACCCTTCTTGTACAGCACCTTCATGGTTGCATCCTTCCACCCTCGCGGAATATCTCCTCCGTTCCACACCTTGACGAGGATGGTATGGAGGTGTCCCAGGACGAAGGGTTCGTCGTCAACGATCTTGAGCAACTCGGCAGGGAGGGAGTCATGGCCGGGTGCCTTCCAGATCTTGAGGCCTTTCGTTGCCCGTGCCACCTCCTCGAGTTCTGGTACATCTCCCAACCGTTGAGTGTCACGTGTCGCTGGCCGCTGCGTCACTCGTTCGATGATGTGTGGGTTCAGGGCGGGGGATTTCGTGTTGAGCAGGGTGCTGAAGAATCTCACCCACCGCTGGACGATGTCGTCTCTGTTCCGGAGCAACAGGCCGTTCTCATCCGCGAACTGCTGTTCCCCCGCTTGTCTCCCGCTGAGGCCCACTGATCTCTTGAGGTGTTGGTACAGTCCTCGCATGTCGCGGTCTTTGTAGATTGCTTCGAGTTCAGTCACATATCCGTCCAGGTGGGCATAAAGGGTACACACGTAGCCATTCGGTTCACCTTGTCAGGGTGGGCGACAGCACCTCGCCCAAGGTCGTCATACAAGTTATACCTTCGGTAGGGTCGCCACTTTACGAGGTGCGCACCGGGTGCAGCACCTTGGCGAGACCCTGCAGGGGTACAACCTTGGCGAGACCCTGCAGGGTTCGCGCCCTGCCAGGGTTCGAGGCTTGGCAGGGTGGCTAGGTGCCAACCATGGCAGGGGATTATAAGTGCACCTTGCACGGCCCTTGGATATTCGCATTTATTGTAACTATTTTTTTTCTCCCGTCATTGGCTACGGTCGTCTGCCCCTCTGGCCCCTATGCTCCACTTCTACTAGCTAGACGACCCAACCGGGGTCACATAGGAGGGGGGGGGCTGGACCCTCTCCTGCGGTTCCTGCCGGAGGTATTTTTATTGCGCATGTTTTATTTGATGCCTACGGTATCAACCCAACAAAAAGGATAGAAAGCACGACGAAGCCGACTCGTACGGTGCGAGCGAGCCCAAGCGCGTTCGTTCGCATATGTTCATGCCGGCGATGACTCTCAACCATGTCACAAGACGCACGTATACACCAGCCCGCCAGCCCCTACCTGCGCCAGACGAAGCTATACATGTACGCGACGAGTGTTCAGGCACGCCGTGCGCTGCGATAGAAGTAGCGTGAAATATTGCAAAACGGCATCAAAGCCCCTACCCCACCGATACGCGACAACCAAATACAGAGGAGAAAAGCAAAATGCGAGGACCGCATGGACATGGACTTTATACATGCGTACGCTCAGCTCTGCGTGCAAAACCACAGAGCGACAAGTACCGTAAGGTTGCGAGTCAGCGCACAGGGGTGCGAGCTATCTTCAAAGCGTAAATTATTCACAACCAGGAGGTTACAACTGTCGAAAAAGGGCGATTTTGGAAATATCTCGTCGAGAGGTTTCCTGAGAAGTATCACTTGTCCCTCGCACCCTTCTGGTTGTGGAGAAATTACGCTTTGGAGATCGATCGCACCCCTGTGCGGTGACTCGCAACCTTACGGTATCGCAACAACACTACTAACCACACCATCCCCGTTACGGACGACGCACGAATCTCCCTGAACCAAGAAAAACTTCGGACTACTAGTGTTCGCACCAGGTGACTTCACTCCCGATGTGGACGGTCCAGGTCGCGGCGAGTGCTTCCGTACTACAAGGCGTAGACAACGACAATGAGCTTAGAAGCTAAAAAAGTTGGACATGTAAATCATACAGGAGGGAAACCAAACGTAAGCCGATATCGAGAGACAGGCGCACGCCATGCCATGGATTCAGCGAAAACACGCGTGGGCATTGCAAAACGGCAACGCACATAAGGTGCCCCACCGACATGAGACAACAAATGCAGGGAAAAACAATGACACAGCATCACCTGTGTGGGACACACAAAAAGCGACAAGACACAGGCGAAGCAACAACATGGCGGTGATGTACGACACGTGCCGAAGTCGCCCCCCGCATACGGGCACGCGAACACAAGATACTACGTTTAGGGATACGTGAAGCTCGGCATGATCGCACCATACTCCCGTATACAGTAAATAATATCCCGCAGCAACCTCCAGGACTTCCCCCCCCCTCATTCACAAACCACTCGAGACTGCATCACGCCATACTTGAGCAATAGTAGATACGATAATGCTGCCGGGTTGATAGGGTCGCCAATGCCGCGGCGACGATGTCATCGTCGAAGACAGCGTAGAGGAGTACCATAAGCCTACGAGGACTTGCTCAGGTACTCGCTCAGGTACTCCTCTACATTGCTGTCTTCGACGATGACATCGTCGCCGCGGCATAGAGGCGTCTCCGAGACGACCATGTCATCATCCGGCGACCGGAAGCGGTCGCTGTTGGCGCCTGCGTGTGCTTGTCGCGGCCGGAAAATAAGAGCGAATGCGTCCGGCATTGGTGAGTGCGGTGTCGCCACGATCAACACGACGTCAGCATCATTCGAAAGATATACCCACGACATTATCATCTGCCTTTTTAAGCACACGGCGACGCACGTGTTTTGGTCCTGTCTTTTCTTACTTTCCCAAGTTGCACGAACGCGGAGTAGAAATTACATGTTGGACGCGGCGGATACAACCCGAACACAGTGAAAACCTACCTGCGAACGGCGCGACGTACGCGATGATACGTTTGTTGGCGAACTCCTCGTTGCGTACGTTGAGAATGGGTTCCGCGAAGCGGAACGTTCTGGTGGCGAAGGAAAAAAACCTGCACCACAGGTATGCGACGGACAGCAAGAACACAAAACGAAAGATATGACAAAATTCATTCGCAGAGTGTCATGGCGTGGTGGTTTGACGTAGAAGATTTCGCAAGTTCATTGGGGTGTCCAGACGCGCACACAACACAGTACAAAAAACGTGGTAGCAAAGACAGTGATGATCTGTGTGCCTTTTCAGTATGCGCCCACCAGAGTACACGTGAAATAAGGCACCCCACCGGCACTCTACGAGGCTGCAGGCGCAAGATACGGTGTGTAAAAATATATGACTGCCCTAGCGTCGTGGGAACGACGCAACGTTCCAAAAGGGAGACCCGTCTCTGTTCGTTGACTCGCAATAATCATTTCCGATCAACACTCAGGAGTTCTGCAACTCCCGCTCCTTCTTCGTCTTGAAACTGCCATTCTGGCGGTGAGAGAACGCCTGCACGTGGCGCTCGGCGTAGCACTGCCGGGACTCAAGGTCCCCGGCCTCCTTAAGCTGAGTGTGCTCCGCGTCGCAGAGCATCAGCAGCAGCAGGGGCAGGGTTACCTGTTCACGCTCGAGGGGGCCGAAGGGGTCAGAGGTTGCTCACAGGATGATCGTTGGCGGTCGGCAGTATGTTGCACCCGCCGTTAGGAATGCCGTCCCTCCTATCTGTCAAACTTTACAAATCACGACTGAAGCTGAACGGCATGAATTCGCTACCGCTCAACTCACCTTCCTCACGCACTGCTTCTTTATGTCACGCCCCCTCGTACAGGTGCCAGTCCTGGAGGTCCATCCGTTCCGACGCCCGTCGTGCGGCCTGGACCGGGTAGTCCAGCACGGAGGTCATGAAGTTCACCGCCGGCTGCGGGTGTGTCGTGCGGAGAGAATAAAACATCGTACTAAGCGGCGTTCATTGTAACAGTGGTGTTTACATGCGGGCGACATACATTTCCATGGGGAACGTACAAGGTGTTTGGTAAGACGATGTAACGCAATGTTAGAACGATACTATTTAGCTAATGCCGTTAGCTGAACAGAGCAGGCGGGCGCCATGTCGGCGCTGTGGATGACTTCAGACGTAGACGTTTGCCTTGTCGTCTGACTCGAGATTGCGAGCCCACTGCCGCGCGCCGCGGAAGATGTCTTCCGTTGTGAAGGGTTCGTTCTCATTGCACTCCTCGTCGATGAGGTGTCCAGCCAGCGGGACCATGGCCTCGCGCACGGCCCCGTGCATGTACGAGCGGGCAGCCATAACCGCTGAGGTGAACCTCTCTGCGGACCACAGCAAGGGAAGCAAAGCGCACGACCGACACGTCCACGTTTACATAGACGTTGAAAGAGATCATGGCATGACGATCGAGCGCCATGCGTGTAAAAAGCTATGGTGTGCAGAACGGTGGGCCAGTATCTGCGCCACAAAGCTCGACCAATCGTGTGTGTACCGCATACCACAGAGTTTGGGCGAAATAGTGAAATTCAAATCTTGGCTTGTTGAGTGCTGCTCGTGCAACTTCTACGCTGGCTGTAGAAACACGTTGGCACCATGACGAGACGTGGGTTGGGGATTGTTCTTCGGGCTTTAAGGGTTTCACACTTTCAGCGTAGGGCATCCCGCACTCTCCCCTGTCACATACCGTCTCCAGTCCACGAAATATTGAAACTTGAGCCGCAAACATTTAAAGTGGCGGTGACCTTCACGGCCAATGAAACTCTAGCGTGGACAAAGATCGAAGTGACCACCTCCGGATCACAGTGCCGTTAGGGAAACTTGAACCTATGGAGCCCAAACACATTTCGCCATTCGCGCAAGTCCTTACCAACCCAGTCTGGGTCTCCCTCCTGAGCTCCCACGCAGACGAGGGCGGCCGCCGCCATGAAGACGTTGTTCTTCTCGTGGCATGGCTGCCCGCCAGAGAAACGGGTCTTCCCTTATCCAATGAAGGCGTAGCTGAACGCCGAGAAGAGGGCAGCAACAATCCCGTTTGACGCTCTCTCTCCCTTTACCGGCTGTCGTGCCGGCTTGGTCCCGACCACCTACGGATACACAGCGGAGGGCGTTGGTCGGTGCAAGACGGGGGAGCAGCGGCAGAAGATTGATCGATATGTCAAGCCACAATTTTATTCTCTATATACCCGCCGCGAGAGGAGAGGGGGTGGGGTCGTATTGGGGTTGTGCACCCTCGCCACTCACGCGGGGAAAAACTGAAACCTAGTGAGAGGCCAACATTAGAATATCAACCCAAACAAATGCAGGACGTCGATACCACACGAAACGGGATGTGGACACACGCTTTTTCGGATGAACGGAACCACATCTCTTCACGACTACTACTGTGCATCACGTGTCGCACATGCGAGCCAACACAACGAAGACACTGACCGGGCGCTGCTGGTGTGTGGGTGCGACTGTCGACATGAGGATGCCTAGAAGCGCCCCGCGTTCCATTTGCGAAATGCCCTTTGCATTGATCGCCTGGTAGATTGCTTGGCCGCTCATGCGCGGGGTAAGGGTCGTGGCCTCACCTCCGCCCGTTCCCCGCGGCTGTGAGGAAGCCCGCCCGATCTGGGTAAAGCTAGCAGAAGGTGTGCCAGCACGTGAGGCCGCGGGGGCTGGCGCTCCCTCGCATGAACCAGACCTTATGCCGTACCCTCCGGAAGATGCAGAGTGAGCGGAGGCGGTAGTGGCCTGTATCTGGGACGACAGCCTCCCACGGTCAGGCGAGGTGTTCCTGCCGAACGTAGGTCGAGAAGACCCGCCCGCCTCCTGCACGTTGTCCGCGGTCATCAGCGTCGCCGCTAGAGAGACGGTGCTGGGTGGACGTCGTGGGGCGTGAGGTGCTCGTAGGTGCTGCAGCAGAGGATGCGCGGGAGGATACAATTCCCGCTCCCTCTCCAGCAGGGAGGGCGCCAGCTGCGTCTACACGGGAGTGCGAAGAAGCGGACGTCGACACTGACGACTGCGCTCAACTGCCTGCAGAGGGCGACGACGGTCACACACGCCACCGGCGCCGCGAGAGGACGACAGCGAGGATACGCCGGCGCGGGAAGAACGCCCATCGCTGCCGGGCATGCCATTGGCGCGCGACGAAGGCACGTCGGTAGCCGCGGCGCTGTCCTCGGTGACGGATTGGTCGATTACAGGGCGCGGGCTGTGGTCGATGTAGCGCAAAGGAGGACCTGGGCCTCCTCCTCTACGCCGGTGCGAGGAGGTCGGGGCTTGGGCTGTCTTCCTCGTTGGGGTCGAGGGTGCAAGATTCGTCGTCACTGGCCGCCGCGGGGTCGTACTCAGAGCCGGAGTCTTCGTAGCTTTCCCGGCCCGAATCCTGCCATGAAACGAGGTATCAGGGGAAAAGAAACTTGTGGTCATGGCAAGATTTTCGAAGAGGTACCCAAGCATTCAAAATTCAAAACCTCAGGAGCAGTGAAACTCGATGTTCGGACCAAACGACGGGCACATGGCATGGCATAGTTGCAGCATGTATGTATGATGCGCACAAAAGGGCGCAGAAGAGAAAACGAGAGGGGATAGAACGAGCCCGGCGAAGGGGCGCCCGTGAAGCAAGCTACATGGCTACATAGTCAGGTGAGAATCAGCTGATGATCTCATTGTTGGAAAACAAACACGGAACAAAAACCACAACGTAACGGGGGGTTGGGCGTCCCTGGCAAGGCCGAGAAAAGGCCGTAGTAGCCAGGACACAGAAGAAGTCTTTTCGTGCACGCCGGTATCGAGAATGTACCAGATGGTCAGGAAAGGGCAGTGTTGTCCGGTCGATGCACGTATGCTTGCATCTGCGCGCGGCTGTCCTCCGTTCTTTGGTGGTCTCAACACATTTATTTACCGAACGTTGGTTCTGGATCGCCATCGAGATTTGCGTGTGTGTGTCGCGGGCGCTGCTTTTTAGAATCACATCACTCACTTGCTTATTTCGCCCGGAGCGTTCGAATGTTTATTAGGTATAGAACTTTCTTTATCTACGACCGTCGTCGAGGCGCGGGAAGGACACCTGTGGCGACTACCGTATATGACACAAGATAACACATCCCCTGGACCGATTTTCAAAGCTCGATTTCTCCACGACAAAGAGGATGCTTAAACAAAACGATACATTTTCAAAAAGCTCTTGACGAGACGGTTTCGACGCCGCCGTTTTCGGCGCTGTGACTGTTCCGGCAGTTGAGAAATCGAGCTTCAAAAATCGGTCAAGGGGGTGTGTTATTTTGTGTCATATACGGTATGAATATCTTAAAATTTGAAAAAAAGGTGGGCCATGGCACACAACTCACAACAAAGTTGGACGGCTTTTTTTATTCGCGGCACAACCGAGCCGAATCTGCTGCGCCCTGGAAAACATGAGAACGTGATCGTCCTACGGCGGAAGAGAGGGGTGTGAGGACGCCACATGTTGCCCTGCATTAACTCACCTCCGATGCTGCACGGGAGGTCCTCTTGGCCCCCTTCCCCTGCTTCGACGTGTAATTGTCTGTCGCCGCTCAACTACGTGGCCCGAACGTGCGGCGAACAGAGTGCCCACGTTCGACGTTGTCGCTGGCGGCAGAAAGGGACTGGCGAGCCGCAGCCGCAGACCATCCTTGGCTGCGACCAGATGAAGGCATCGTTGACGAAGGAGTGGGTGTGTGACAGAGGTAGGAGGTGTGGGTTCGTGGTGCGTTTGGAGAGTGTGACGGTGGGGGAGGATCGTGGCGAGTGGCGGACGGAGAAAAAAAAACAAATGTCTGAACAGAGAAACTAACGGGCACACACACAACCGATCGGGACAAGCGGCGCTGGAAAAAGCGTGATCACGTGCTCACCTGGGTGCGATATCTTGGGGCGGGCAGTGTTTCGTCAACCCCGGCTGCTTGCTCTCCGACTCTATTTCTCTATTTCTATGTGGGAAACTCGCCAACCGCTGGCGGCAGGGGGGGTCACAGCTTCGATTACATTTCCTGTATGGGGGTGTGATCGCACGGAACCCCTTCTTCCACCGCTTGCGGCGCGGTGGTCACAAAAGTGTCACACATATTTTACCCAAATGAAACATCGGCATGCCAGGGCCGTCAGGAGGCGAACGCCGGGAAGCAAAAGATTCTCAGATACTTCCTTTCTCATGGAAGTGCCCAGTATGCGGCGAAGAGCACACTCGCAGGCGCGAGTGGGAGCGCTGCTGCTTCCGCCCCCGCCAGGTCACGAGGCCGAGGGAGGGCAGCACGCGCAGGGAAGACGGGACGTCATCACCAGGCGTGCAAGCACCAAGGAACCATACTACAGCCCATACCCAGGTTGCGCAAGGTGTGTTGGTTGGTGTTGGAGACAGGGGGGACAGAGAGAAAAGGGCCAGTCCGATTTGGTTTGTTGAGTACTTGGCGGCGCTGTGATGATACGATGTTGAGTATACGAAAGTTGCAGGAACGTGCATGCAACCCGTGAAGATGCAGCTATGCAGGGTGCCATGAACTTTGCTCTCAGGTTACCCGCCCCAGTTCAGCTCACAAGCTGGACTTAAGATCCATTATTTGTGAGGAGTATTCTGTGTTGAAGACGATTTTGACATCGATTTCAACACGAGTCTCTGTACACGTCTGTGCGCCGCATGTGCTATGTTGTCCTACAATGCAATTGCGCCCTAGACCCGAGCGCTGCATTGCACGAAAATTTCATATCTAATTGCTCCAAATTGGTTATGTCTCCCGTGTGGCTCGCATGACACGCCAACACACAAGTATATACTTGTACTAATACGGAAGGTATACCACACCGCCGCATGCTGAGCAGGAAGTATACCCTTTCCGGAACTAAGGCAAACCTCTGCGCTACCTTTCCACGGTTGGCATCAGACACCACCAGCTCGTAACACGGTTATCGTCTTGCGTGCTCGGCGTGTTTTGCCTCTGGCGTTTATCGTAACACTGCTGTTCTTCTCGGCCTCGGGACAGCAGTCAGAGGTAGTGTGGTCCACAGTGGAAACGGGTAGCCGACGTGTTTGTTTCAAGTGAGCCGTCAACGGGTAGGGCGAAGGCCTTGATGGAAATCGTTACATTGGCGCAGACACACGCCCCCAAAACACTTCCCTTTTATTTTTGCGTGGGTAGGGTGTGTGGTGATGACGGTAGGCATTACGGAATGTATAAGTGAGCACCTCTTGTATTACGCGCAACCCCGAAACCTCCGGACACGGGGCTGGAGATTCTCATTCCTTCTCAATCAACGTCTTGTTGGTGCTGTCGGACGAGAAGGTTTGAACGGAGACGACATGCCCGACAGTACGTACGACATCGGGGTAGACGAAGATTTCGGTGTTGGTTCTGGGAGATCGGCCTGCAATGCGAAATACTCGGACTGCTGCAAGATGGATGCCTAGGAGAATGCAAGCTGACCGACGACGACGGGGCGTCGTTTGAGCAAGAGGTACGGTTGAAATCGACGGAGGAGGAGGTAGACCAGTAGTACCCTACCTCAACGTAATGGTACACACCGAAAGTCTGTGCGGGCCTCCGAATATGTTTGCGCGGAAGGGGGGTCCATACCCCCCCTTGAAATAGTTGACAATTGGTAGTCCCCCCGTCAGGCACTGGTGGGTTGACTTGTGCGATAGGGCGCTCGACGAAGTGCTTGGCGATGATGCAGAGTTCCCCCCTACAGTCCCCCTGTGCTGGCGCTACTTCGCGATTTTTTTCTTGAGTATTGGCGGGTCGGGTGAGGTGCCCCTTCATATGGACAGGTGACTGTGCGTTGCCCTTTGTTCTAGAGGTCCCAAATTGCACCATTTCCTCGGCTAACGCAATGCGCGCCCACCACCTGATCACCACGTCCCGCCATCACCTAGTAGGTTTTTGTACGTGGTGGTCTCCTGCTGATGTGTGGGAACGGAATTGGGCGCGCGAAATTCCTCGGCACGAAGGCTCCAAACAGCTGGTCCAATTAATTGTCCTTGCGCCTACTGCATGGTAAAACAGCAGAATCATGATACCAGCGGCGATCTGGGGAACCCAAACTTCGACATCGGTAACCAAAGCCGCACGTGGAGCCAGATAACGGAGGGCTTGTCCGAGCTGGATGCCCTTGCGGATGACCCAAGAGAGCAGGATCGACGCTCGGAAGAGTTGGGGCTGGTGGCACCGGACGCATCCGGACTCCCATTACCGCTGTACACCGCCATGCGCATTGTTCCCACGGAGCACATTGTTCCCGTCGAGCGACTGCACTTCGACGCGCTGGTGAGAGTCTAATCTGCAACCCATATACACTGGGTGAGAGAGACACAAAAGTAAGGGGCATACACCTTCCTCATTGAAAAAACACCCCAGATCCCTGTACGCCGAATAAAGTACGCCGTGTCGAAGAGGTCGGAGAACTCCCAAAGCGGACACTAAATGTCTGTAAACGACGAATATTGTTTTCGCCCATATCAGACCATCACCTTTTATGGCTAAGCGTGGGACATTGTCTCCTTCTTCCGCGCGGCATCCTTTCTACCGCCTGTTGACGATAGGGGCAAAGTCAACTGTGCCAGGTTTTCTTCTTCGAGATGTTTTCCACTGCAGCTCGCCAGCTTGTCTCAGCTATCATGGCTCAAAAGCCATCATTGCTCTACCCACCCGGCACGGAGAAGCTGAAGGATATAGTGACGAACTACGCTTCTCTCACTGGAAGCGACAAGTGGACACTCCAATCGATCATGCTTTTAGTGTTCCGGATGGTTCTTCAGGATGTTCCGGCTATGGTATGTACGTACTCCCGACGCCGCATATTTCGTTTGACGTTGGCAAAGCACGGTACTGAAGTGTGGTCCTTGCTTTTGCACATCCGATGCTGGGCCGCTCTCGTCGTGGTTGCGCTTCGGAAGCAGGGTGTGATGTCCCGCCGAACCTAATTAACTCCCGCAGCACTTCTTTACAATTGTCGAGCCCCATACGCACGGGCGAAGCTTGACATGCCCCGTTGACTATCCACACATCAAACAGAGCGGTCTATAACGTAGTATGTTGGCTGTATCATCGGGAAGCCTGACCACCGTACTTGTCGCCACACCTTGACCCGTTGTTGCCGCTGTCGCTTGACTCCCGGCCGTGCAATGTATACCTGACAGAGGAGAAACATGAAGACGCGGGAGATCAACGACCTCAAAGCGGAGTGGGGAACATACGAGAATGTGTTGGAAGCGGTGCGGGAGCTTTTGAAACGGGCGTCTCTCCTATCCTTCGCCCGCCGCGCGCCATCGTTCACCGAACCGGAGCTGCTGCAACTTGACAAACTCGCGCGTGACGCGGCATGTACTCTGACATTGTCCGTTTGCTCTCTTACGCCTGTATGTGTTGGCATCAGGCACTTGGTTTATATGGGCGTGGCAGAGAGCGGAGACATCGCTATTGGATTTGGTGCGCGACACCATAAAATAGCAGCATTATAATGCTGCTGTAATGCTGCTGTTTTGACGTTGAAGCGACGGCGGCTTCGTGATTTTTTTCAACGGACGGGGGCCGACCGCCGATATCTATCTTGGATGCATAATACGCCTATGCTAGTCTACACACGACAAATCATGCCGAACACGAAGATAACTACACTAATCTTTCCTACCACGAAGAGAATTTAACGCAACACGAAGAAAGATAAACGCGTGCTGTGTCTGTGCCACATATATAGAAGTATCTCCGTGACCAAATATGCACCAAGCACTTTATTCTTCTCCACCAGCATCCAGACATGATTTTTTTTCTTCAATAGTTGGAATCGGCCGATGCCCCACAGGAAGTAGACACAATTCCGTGGTAAGTTAGCAACGGCTGCGCAACGCTCGCCTGTCAGGTCAGGGCCTTCTCGAAGATTATGGGGAGGACAGGATCGCGGCCCACGATAGGCTATTCGTCTGCACGGTGAGAAGGTTTCCAAGGTCCATGCGTGGTGGATGGTCGGATAGGCCTTCTAGAGCAACAGTCGCTACATCATTGTTGCTAAAATTTACGCCAAACAATAGACCACTAGACTCACCTTTACCATTCACCTTCACCACTCGACTCTCCCAAACCAAAGACTGGGCTACGAGACGAGCGTTCACAGTGCATTACGGTCCATGTTGCTCGGAAATGGGCACCCACACCCAACCTAACCGTCGCTGCTCCTGAAAGACACGCGTTGAACGAAACGTCTGGGAATATGCCCGGACGCAAGCACGTGTGAACACATCCACCAAACGAACAAGTCTGGAAGGGGTGTAGACTGCGGTAGGAATCCTTCACTGCACATAGCCAAGGGCGCCAACCTCAACAGCGCTCTACTGGCGCTGTCCAACGGGCTGCCATCCAAAGTCGCCAGGTACAACTGACGAGACAGAGTGCACGAGATCGTCTCTGTTCAACCTGGTGATGGCTGCGTCCGGATCATGCAGTCGTTGGCGAGCTTCCCCGGCCCCAACCGCGTGCCCACAGACATTCATGCCGAGGCGGTTCAAACACCATCACAGCTGAGAGGGCAGTTCCCGGGGTCGGCTCTGTGGACGTTATCTCTGTTCAAGACCGGGGATGAGAGTTGTAAGATGGTTAGTGGCATCTTTGCGTGGGGTCCAGCAAATTCCGCCCAGACGAACGAACCTTACGGCGCGCGTACAAGAAGTACTACGGGTGCGGCATGGAGGGTTCGTGCGGTAGCAGTCGCTGCCCGGACTGCTGGGACGGAGACACCCTTGACGATTCCATCGACTGCTCCCAGTACCTCCGGGTACCCATGGTAGCGAGTTGTGGCGTTGGTCGCTTGAAGGGCGGCGACGTCAAGTCCGTAACGAAACCTGGGCCGCGTGACGAGTGGNCTGCTGGGACGGAGACACCCTTGACGATTCCATCGACTGTTCCCAGAACCTCCAGGTACCCATGGTAGCGAGTTGTGGCGTCGGTCGCTTGAAGGGCGGCGACGTCAGGTCCGTAACGAACCTGGGCCGTGTGACGAGTGGGCACTCGGGAGTGGCGGGGGAGACAACGTGGAGGTGCACAAACAACCTTCCGCAGGGTTCGAGACGGGGCGTGCGGATCCGCGGGAGCTCAACCTCGTAAATGTTCTGTACTGTTTCCGCCACAAGGGTAATCGGTCTTTCACGGGTGTTCGGAGCGCACCACCGCTTACGTGGTGGGTGCTTGGATACGACTACAACGGGGTTGGTCACGCCAACGACCGCGTACCCGACTCCGTAACCGGGCATCCGACATTGCACCTTCGAGCCCGCGGTCGTCCTCAGGTGTACCCTGTGTCTGCCATCTATCGGCAGGCGCATCTCTACCACGCATGCTCAATCAGCGGCGGACATGAGACGGACAGCTCTCAAGCTTGCGGGGTAGTTCCGGGCGGGGGGTGCTCTGGTCATCGTGGTGTTTGGCGCCACAGATTCCGCCAAGCCACGCCGGGGACGACTGGGTACGACAGGTACCTGTACAATGAATGTCATCATTCTATCAACCAAGACACCTTCATCTGAGGACGTCGGTCTCGTGTTGTCGGAGAGAGGTGAGTTTGCAGCGCTCGATATGTACTTCGGACCGCTCTCATTGCTCTCGCTTTGTTCATGTCGGATCCAACCCTACACGCTCGTCATGACCACTCGCCGTATCCCTCCGTCCCCGGTTTTGCTTTTGCCACATGCGAAAAAAAAGGTTGCACTGTCCACCGTGCGGAATATATTTTATGGCGACGACAGCAGAGGGCGATGCCACCGCGCACTCTGTTTGTACGTACAGAGAGTCACGATGTCTTCGAAGTAAATATCTTTTATTTTGTCGCACTCTGAGTGAAGAGAAAAGTGGCCCTTGATGTACTTCTATGCTGTAACCCGAACCGCAAGTTGTACCCTATAGTTGTGGTGTAGGTTGCCGCGTGTGTGTCCCAAATGTAAAAGGCGGGTACGGAGTATGCAGCGATTGGAGTTCCGGCGATAGCGACTCTTGTTCTAGTCTACACTAGAGAGTTTTTCTCTCGCTTTGGTACCTTTGGCGCCGGTAAAAAGCGCGAACAAAGTGAGATGACAGTCTTTGTGGTCGGTGTGCGAGCGTGTGATGCTCGTCTCACTTCTTGATTTTTTTATTTGGCGACGAGTCCCCCCGACGAAGGCGATAGATGTGAGAACGGCACATACATTTCTATAGTCTAGTGGTATGGGTTTTGGAGGACTAGACTATAGAAAATATGTTTTTTTTTCGTCTTGATATCACACAACAAATCCATCTGTATCTATAGAAATAAGTCTAAGATAGATTAGCAGTGAAGCCATAGCGTGAGCGAAAGGCTACCTGTATGTGAACGGTTTCCCAGACAGCATACAACGATATCTCCCCTGTGGGTAACAGGCTCAACGACGCAGTTTGCTAGCCAAATTGTGTATCTGTGTTATGTTGGAAATGTAGACGGAAGATTTTCGGGACGTCGGTTTCTCGGGTGTTCTATTATGGCACCCTTATGTGGTTGCGGAGCAAGCGTGTCTCCGGGTGTGTATATTTTCGTCATCAACTTATATTTTTGTGTGTGATGTATGGGGGCATGTGCGGCGCAGGAGAGTTTGTATTCTTCTCTCCAGCTACACCAAAGGCGATGTCACGCGGAAGGCTCCTCTGCGTCAGCTCAGATGGCAAGATGCCTGGCGTGGCAACCCGCCGCTGCACTCATGAGAGATATATAGCCTAGACTGACTAAAGTCTAGAGTATATGTATACGTGCGCGTGTGTGATATCGAAAAAAGTATTGTGTTGTTCCGCAAATACCGGTAGATAGACCACACACACACATCATTGCAGTGCCGTTTCGTCTGCGGCGAGGCATTAGACAGGCTCCGTCCAGGGTGGACACCTGCACAGACCTGACAGTGCATGACCTTGTGAGGGGTATGGACTCAGCCAAGGTGAGCCCAAGGTGGACGGACACCTACAAAGGCCGTGGAAGTGCAGGACCTTGCCAGGGGTATGAACTCAGCCAAGGTGAGCCCAAGGTGGACACCTACACAGGACGTGACAGTGGAGGACCTTGCCAGGGGTATGAACTCAGCCAAGGTGCGGCAGGGTCTCCCACAGGGTCGAATAGCCCACAAGGTGCTGAAAAGGTGAGCCGAATGGCTACGTGTGTACCCTGTTGACGAATTGTGTTTTCGGTGCTATGCCGGTGTGTCGCTTGATAGATATACTTGTAGCATTACCAAGTGGTTGGTGCTGGATGTTCCCATGGAATGAGGTAGAGCGGAATACCGGCTGACATGTGTGGTACGTAGAATGGATTCCAGGGATGTACAAGGTGCCCCTGTTGTATACGGCGTCGCCCCCTCAACGGAGCTCGTGTGTGTGTATGTGGATGCAACTAATCACAACAAGTTTTTCTCCTCGGCGCAAGCCCGCCGAGTTGCCAATACCCTATTCAACACACGTCATGCGACAAGCTACCCCCAGTTCAGATTATCCAAACACGCCAGCGTGTGATATCATACGGGATCCCGAGGTGGGGCCAGCTACAAAACGGTTTGACCAGAGACCAGTGACACGGAAATCATGGAGCAGCAGCTGGATGAGCTCCAGCTCTCGGACGAGCGGCGAAACGTAATCGACGCTCTTATCAAGGAGCAGGTCAAGATCAAAGTAGAAGAAGCAGCAGCAGCAGAGCGCCCCGCAGCACAGAGCGAGGGCATGCCTTCCGAAGGAGGCGACACCCGGCGGGAGAGGCCGGCTGGCTCGGAGTCAAGCCCCCGACCCGAAGACCAGCCCCGATCGCCGGCGGACGGCAGCCTCGTCGACACCCTCGTGCGGGCCTTGCAGAGGGTCAAGATAAAACCGGAGGATGAATACAGGGAAGTCCCAACCCCTAAATAATCAATACGTATTAGCGGTATCACAATCCCCGCATTCACCGGGAAGTTTAGCCCCGAGGACGATGTATAGACGGCGATAATGGTTTTTACCAGTCAATTTCGATCTTTGTTGGAGGAGGAGCGTTGCCTTGGAACAATAGAATCGAAGAACACGATTCGTGTAGGGAAGACGGATGCGAATATCTCGGCATTGAATGTGGAACATGGGACGGAAGCTGTAGATCGGGCGGTTAAGGCTTGGCAGCTAACTATATCCAAGATACAAGTACCGACAATAGTCCCTGCAATCCCAGTTAGTGGTTGCCCCACTGAATCGTGGGATTAGTTTCTCAACCATTATCGAGTGCACGCAGAAATGGACAAGTTGGAGTTGCAGGGGCAGTGGTACTGGTTGAAGCAGCAAGTAGGGGAGGAGCCCCGGCGCTATCTCACAAGAGCATCAGTACTTCGCCAGAAACTAGAAGCGTACGATTGGGTGCAATCCGATCATGATGCTAACGTCCACTATGCACGCAACCTCCTGCCCGATTTCAATGTCCAGAGGAGCGTGTTGTTGGCGCATCCGGAGTTCAAGACAGAACTGGTAGAGAAGGTGATTCTGACTGCCTGGGCGGAGGCGGAGGCCGCTAGGAAGAGGGCGTCGGAGAGCGTGGGGGCGTATGCCCTCGTCACTGGCGGTGATAACCGTGATGGCGGGGGCGGGAACATGGGGGATAGGGGGAAGTCGAGAGGACAACGGAGGACGGCAGCGCGGCAACAGCAGCAACCACCGCAGCAACCACCGCAGCAGCCACCGCAGCAGCATCAGCCGTACTATAAGCAGCAGCAACAGGTATACCCGCCGCCGTACCCGCCTGAGATAAAATATTGTGACCTCAACAACTCCTCGTCCCACAGCAACGAGGAATGTCGCTTGCAGCGGGGTTGGGGAGGTCCCTCGGGCGGCCAAGGTGCGAGCTACGGCGGAAGGACGGGTCCCAGCATTGAGGCCGGGGCTTTCCTGGCGAAGGACGTCATCAGCAGCAGCCAGCAGGAGGAATATTCGGGGGGCGTGGCGCCGCTTCCGGTGGGAGGGGCAGGTACGCTTTCCACCAGGGACCGCTGGACAACAACCTCCCCGCCTACCCTGTACCTCAGCGGGGCTACGACTACAGCGCCTACCCCCCCCACATGTACCGCCCGCAGGGAAATGAACCTCCCATCCACCCGAATGACCCTCGCAAGCGGAGTGAGAACTGCGGTGAACTCGGCCACAACCATCTGTTCTGTCCTTCGCGTGTTGATGTCGGAAGGCCAGCTGGCATGCCGGCCGCCAACACGCCGCCTAGGCCCCCACCGCCCCGGCCGCCGGCCGGTGGCTACAGCCAGCGGCCGCCGTGTGCCCACTCGTACGGGCAGGCCAACACCGCGCAGCAGTACGGCGGAGAAGGGGTAGAGCCAGGAGCAGCCGGAGCGACGGTGGCGACGACGGCAGCGCCATCTACGGGGGGACACGCAGTGACGCACGTGACCGGTGTTTATCAACAACCGGTGACGCACGCGAGTGGTGTGTACAAATACCCACCCCAACACCAGCAGCCGGAGTACCTATCCCCCCCCTTCCAACAGCAGCAGCCAGTCCCCGCCCCTTACGCNCGGAGCGACGGTGGCGACGACGGCAGCGCCATCTACGGGGGGACACGCAGTGACGCACGTGACCGGTGTTTATCAACAACCGGTGACGCACGCGAGTGGTGTGTACAAATACCCACCCCAACACCAGCAGCCGGAGTACCTATCCCCCCCCTTCCAACAGCAGCAGCCAGTCCCCGCCCCTTACGCCTCTCCCGCGCCTTCGACCGGAGCACCATCGACGGCAGGGGGAACTTTGCATGCGTGTGTTGTAAGGCACATGTCAAGTGAGTACCAGAGTGAGATTTCGAGTGGATTCGTAGGGGGTGAGGGGTATGCCTTGATGAACTCTATACCGGTTGTGGGGGCGGAGCGTGTAGGAGTTGAAGAATGGCTTGCAGACTCCGGTGCAACTAACCACACCGCCGGAGATCCCACGAACATGTACGATGTGATCATCCCGCCCCTTGGTAACGAGAGAGTGCAAATCGGTGATGGCAGAACGATGCGAGTGCTTGGAATCGGATGTTTAAAGGTGAGGTTTCATCTTGAAGGTAGAGACTTTTGCGTTAAGCTTACCCGAGTACGTCATGTAGAAAGAATGGGGTTCAATCTTTTCTCCCTCCACCAAGCACAGGGATTGCAACGTATTGCCTTGGACGACGTGGGCACCCACCTTTTCCATGGCCAATTGTAGGCACCCATCTTTTCCATGGCCAATTGACCTTTCCCCGTGGCGAGAGTGTCAGGAAAATCGTGCGTCGAGACCACCAGTAGTCGGACACGGTTTGACCTTTGAATACGATTGCAGCAACTAGTCTGCGTAGCAGCAAAAAAGAATCCATCTCTCCGTGGCATGTATTGTCTTGTTCTAGAAATATTCCGGAAGCATGCTAGGTCAAGGTTGACCGGGACATCTACATAGAACGTGTGTAGCCTACGGAAGCCTTCTGGAAACTTCTGAAAGTGTTCTAGATCTAGGCTGCAGTTGATACTCTTCTAGAACGTAGGAGGGCTTCCAGAAATCATTCTGGAAGCATTCTGGATATTTCGTGTGATTGGCTTATTTGTCCGGTATTCGAGAAGAGTGGTGCAACCCTAAGCTCGCCCACCACTCTACTCCTCTTCAGTACCAGCAACATCTGACTCGGGAATCAGCAACAAATAAAAGCAACTTCATATTTCCATTCCAAGTCTCTCGCGGAGATGCACAGAGTATGAACTTCTGAGGTAGGCTACACAGCCTGCCGGCTTCTGCAGCATCGTACTGCTGCTAGTGCACAGCGAAATATCGCTGACAGGTTATGAGCCTCGGCTAACGCACACACTACGAGCTGCGAACATCACGTGCAGATCAAGGCAACCTCTTCTCGGGACATCAACCTTTATCCGTGGACAATGAGAGAACCTGGTTTTGGAAATTTCTGGAGATTGCGACGCCGTCATCGGTCAACGGCAACACAAGCAAACGCGCAAACTTGGTCATCTACACCAAGGTGCTGAGGGTTCACGTCGTATACACACGTTACCACCCCTGTGGCAGTAGCGGGTATCTCTGTGGTGAACTAGCAGCAAGGGTCACGTGCGCGGGAGTCTCGAGCGGCATACGCATCGGGTGTACAAGGAACTACACTGTATCATCAGTGGAGGCGATCAACAACCGGAGTCCTCTATATCAGTAGCAAGAGCGGGATCGGAGACAAGAAAACCACAACCGGAGTCCTCTATATCAGTAGCAGGAACGGGGTGGGGAAGTCTCGGGTACAGGCAGTAGTACCACGAGCAAACTTACTCCTACAGCAGGAAGTACTTTTAT